TATTATGTGAATAAAATTCAATGACTGGAGATTTTAAGTTTTGAATCTACACTCTACTATTTTATTTCCTTTGTGTAGTCAGATAGATTTACTGTTCATTGTATTGAAATCAATACTAATAAATGGGACATGCATCAGAGAGAGATTTAACAGGACACCGATTCCCAGAACACATTTCAAACACGGGCAAAAGAGAAAAAGCTGTGGCTGAGATCCATTAGAATACTGTGACCTCTGGCACTGTAAACAGGCCTAGAAATCAACTCTAAGTTCAAATCCCACTTTGCCACAGACTTGCTAAGTGACTTGTCACTATTCTTTTGTTCCTCTCTTTCACCATATATAGACTAAGTTTTAGTAGTTTATAGACATCTGATGCTATAAATTCCAATCATGCTCATTATAGCCAAGACATACAGAGTCTTAAAATTGTGTTATGGACACTAGACCTCTAACTTAATTTTAACTTTAATGCAATCCTCATTAAAATCCAAATAGGTTTTTCCTTTTTGGAATGGTAGTGGGTGCATGACAAAATGTTTCCAAAATGTATCTGAAAGATAAACTTCAAAATGACATAAATTTTTCAGAAAGATGAACCGTGATAAGTAGCTTGCTCTAGCAAAGAGAAAAATATTTTTTTTCATTTGGAGAGTGGAGGCAACCTAACAAAAATACTATGATTTTCAATACTATAATTAGTCTTATACAATTAACTAAGTGTCTTATTTATTTAATGTTAGTATCTAAAACAACAAAAAATATTTCTTTTAAACCTTGAAACATAATTTCCAGTACCTTGGCCTCATAAATACAGTTTTAAGAGAAGAGCATGGCACTTATATTCTTTTCTTTCAGAAAGTTGATATTTCTGAGTCTTTAAGAAAGAAAGCATATTGTGAGAATAAAGAGCAGATATTTGAGTGAATATTGGGGGAAGGAGAATTAAACTGCCCCTGGTTAGTTCTCTATTCTAGCCCAGGTTCACAGTCTGTGTGACTCTGCACAAGTCATTTTACCACACTAATCTTGTCATCGGTTAAAAAGTTTAAAAAAAAAAAAGCAACTGAAAAAAAGTCTTCCTACTTATCTAGAATCCTTATAGGAACTGATTTAGGAAATCTTGGAAGGGGAAGGAAAAAAAAAAAAAAAAGGAACAGCTATTTCCAACTGTAGAAATTGTAATGTTGAACATAAGCTTGGAAAAGTCTAAAGAAAGTAGAGAAATCAGAGCAGGACACCCGAGACAGTGACAGTCTAACAGAATGTAATAAGGAAGCATTAAGGAATATAATCCCAACAAATCTGAATCTGTTGGTTTACAACCCTAGTAAACACATACCACTTACTAGTTATTGAATGCTAACAAGTGAACTACTACTGCTAGTTACCATATGCAGAATTAAATATTAAATCATTTAGTCCTTACAATACTAGGAAAGAGGGTTTTTTTATTATCATTATTGATATTTCTGTTATAAAACAAGGCAACTGAAGCACAGAGAGATTAACTGACTTGCAGAAAATCACATGGCTAGAAGTGGCAGAGTCATGCTCTGAACCAGTGTCCTATATTGACAAGCTGGTATTAAGCCTAAAAGGCAAACATAAATATTTTAGGATGGTACCACAGGACTATTTTTAAGAAGCTAAGTACTAAGAGTACAGTCATGAACTATGGCAAAAATTCTAATCCAGGAATCAAGCTGGTATTAAGCCTAAAAGGCAAACATAAATATTTTAGGATGGTACCACAGGACTACTTTTAAGAAGCTAAGTACTAAGAGTACAGTCATGAACTATGGCAAAAATTCTAATCCAGGAATGAATAACAAGAGCCACATGAAACATACAAAGTAACTAGATCTTTAAATACTCTATAAATTTAGCAAAGGGCTTTAGAATTGAATTACTTAAGAATTCTAAATGACTTGAAAGTTATTGGAATACACATTGAATCACACATTTTCTGACATGAGAGAATGGGGAAAATATATTAAAAGGTATAAAGAGGTATTAGCAATAGAACAGGAAGAACTACCATGTGATACACATTATGGCCAAGACTCTGTATGTTTTCTTTACATTCTTTATCTGTTAATCACAATATAGTAAGTACCTGTACTATCATCTCCATTCTAAGAAGACAAAAACTAAGGCTTGAGAAGATTAACCTATCTAAAGTCAAGCTGGCAATTAGTACATTTCTGGTAAATATCAGAAAAAATTGTGAAACATACAAAATAAAGTTAGTAAAATAGATATTTGACCTGTTAAAGAGATTGAATGCCAAATCTGAGAAAAGGGAATACATGGGTGAAAAAGTGAGGCATGAAAATTCATTTAACTATTATGAACATAAACTATATGCAAGGTACAGGCAATGCCAACTCACCATCTAACACTGGAACAAAGTGGTTAGGCATGATCAAAACAATTACTCTAGAGCTCTTGGTTTTTGTTATAACTATAGGAAGAAAGAAAAGACATCTTGGATAGAATTTTCTCTCACCTATTGAGAAGCAAATAAGAAGGAAGAGCTCTGATAAGAAGAAAGTATGTTAAATAGCGTAAAAAGCAATACATAGAAAGGGGCATTCTGACTGTATAGATGAGACTACACTGGGAAGAACATCAATAGGCCACCCTGGGAAAAGCTGAAGATCCCAGACATCCTGCCTCCTGCCTCCACCCCATGTACAGAAACCCCAGGGCTGGACTTAAAAGAGCAGTGCCAAGATTATAGACATGGGGCAAATGGAACAGCTTAGAGCTTTTCACCCGAGGCTTCTTGTACATTACAAACAGCCGGAAGAGGGACACAAACTATTTAGCAACTGCTATCACTACATAGGAAGGAGATAAAAGGAACATCTAATTTGCTTCTAGGTTGTCAAACCCAGATCATCAAGAGAGGAAAAAAGGAAGTGATGAGAGGAGAATTTTTGTCCAGAAATAAAAATTGTGCATATGGCATGCATTTTCCTTATGAGGGAGAAAAAAACCTTTAAAATTACTTGATGCTGTGAGGAAAACATGAGGCTAGAACTCATAACTTTAATGGCAATGGAATGATGGGCAAGCCCACTAACATCTTTAAGGTTCATCTACTGAATACGTAAAATGAAAAATACCTGCCCTCCCTATTGCAAGGATTATTACAAGCGTTAAATACAGGCAAAACTTTTATGGCTAAAATAAAAGGACATGGGGAAGGGAGGAAAATAATGAATTATGATTCTGATCATAAGGAAAAAAATAAATTTGAAATTTGTATCAATAAAACAACTGAGATTAAATATGGACATGTTTGTAGACTTTAGAAATAAATTAACTGTGAATACATATATTATTTTTAAAAACTATAATAATCAAATGAATGCACATTGAATACAGATGAATAATTTTCCTAAGAAACAGAATTTTAATGACAGAAGAAAAGGGAGATCCTGTAGTCTAAGATACGAATTTCATTTTCTTAATAGGAATCCTGTTATTCAAGCAGAACACGTAAATAGCTGCTCTTGTTAAAATACAGCTGAGGGTCTGCTTGATTTGTCTTTCCACTGTATGGCTCCAGGTAATTTCTACAGAAGCTCTTCTACGGAACAGTTTTTAAACCATAGGCTGAGTACTGGCCCTAATTTCTAAAAACGAGAAGAATAAAACCAAGAGGTAAAGTTGGTTAAAGGCAAGCCAGAATTAGGACCGGAACCCAATTCTCTTGACTTAATCTAGTATTCTCTCTACTATGTCCTATTATTCTATTTTGTTCTTTTTTTTTTTTTTTTAAGAAAAAAATCGGAGGCGTTCTCTTTTTGACTTTGTAAATAATCCCACTATCTCTCTTTTTCCAAATCTCCTTTGGGCTCAAGATCATTCAACTCTAATCTTTCTGGACACAAGTAACTGATATGGGCGAGATCTGAGAAGTTTAAAAAAAAAAGAAAAAAGAAAGAAGAAAAGTTTTAAGCCAACCCAAGTTCATTTTGTTTTAGACTTAACTAAAAGTAACACATTAAGGGAAGGTATTTAAACTGCAAACTGTGGTGTAGAGGGAACCTCATTCCCCTGTATTTGCTTTACATTGTCAAGATAAAAAAACTTTCCAGGGGAATCACAAGAAAACCCCAACATGTTAGATAATCGAACGTTTAACAACTTGGTCTCATTCTGTGAAAAGCCCTTTCACTAAATGTTGGATGCTTGGAAAACGGTACCTAAATAAACAACGATTTTTAATTTAAGGACCCAGAGAAAAATGTTAATGACTCTCACATTCTCAATTTCTTATCTCCCGATAAGAAGACTGGACTTCTGTCAATATGAAACATAACAAACTTATTGCAAGCAATTTTATAAGAAAATTCTCAATACCTTTTCCCCTAAGAAAACCCAAACTGCTTTTAAGGGAATGAACTTTCAAAAATGTTGGGAACTTAAACATACTCAATTTTTTGGAACCAAAAATAACACTTTACTTGAACCTTCAGATATTAAGTAAACCTTGGATCCTGAATGATTCTTACTAAAGCCATTTATTCGTGAGGTAAATCTCTTTACGACCGCCAAGATCAAGGAAAAAATTTCGAAGTTCGTCTCTTAAAAGTCACTTCAGTGAATGCAGAGGGGCTCAATCCGAGGTGTGTGTGTGTGTGTGTGTGTGTGTGTGTGTGTGTGTGTGTGTGTGTGTGTGTGTGTGAAGTTCGTCTCTTAAAAGTCACTTCAGTGAATGCAGAGGAGCTCAATCCAAGGGGGTGGGGGTGTGTGTGTGTTTGCTAACGGCGCATTCCTAAGAATATTTTTAGGGGTTTAGGTATGCTTCAATTGCCTTTCCCGAAATCCAGAGATGTTGATTTGCCTCTTCCAGGAAGACAGGAAGCCAATAAACAGGGAAACTCAAGCAAAGGGCGACAATTACGAGGTCGTGAAACTGCACGACCTCCCAGCTGCAACAAGACCTGAGGTCTGCACTCTGGCTCTCTCGGGCAGACACTGACCTTAGGAGTCCGCGAAACGCCCACGCTCCACGTAACTCTTTCTGACCCATTCTCTGGAAAGCTCCGCTTTTTCTAAAAGAATCTGGGATACCCGGGCTTCCGCAACTCGTGGGCTTCCGCAGCCACGCAGGATCCGGAAGTGGCTAAGAAAAAAAAAAATGAAAGTACACCAACCAGAACTACGCATTAGCGGGGTGCGGAAGGCCCCGGCGGACCCAGCAACAGCGAAAGCCGAAGAGCCGAAGGGCCGAGGAGCCGAGGAGCCGAAGAGCCGAACAGAACACCCCCTCGCGCGCGGTGATTGGTCGGCAGGCCGTTCGGGGGAAATCCGTCTCTGATTGGCAGGAGAGCCACGAACCGGTTGGCCCCAGGTCGGGGCCGCGCGTGAGGAGGCTGCGGTGCTGAGGGACCGCGGGAAATCCGGGGCTCTCGAGGGCAGGGCTTTCCCTGCCTGCGGACGCCGCAGCGGGCGGCCTCCGGCGGCTGGGCCCCTGCGTTTCGCGGGCTCCTCTTTCGCCCTGGGAGGTGGGCCGATTGCGGGATGGCCTCGTGGGGAGGGAGCACTCTTGGGGAGGGAGCCCTCGGGTATAATGTATGCTATACGAAGTTATTACGCAAATTAGCCGAGGAGCCGAAGAGCCGAACAGAACACCCCCTCGCGCGCGGTGATTGGTCGGCAGGCCGTTCGGGGGAAATCCGTCTCTGATTGGCAGGAGAGCCACGAACCGGTTGGCCCCAGGTCGGGGCCGCGCGTGAGGAGGCTGCGGTGCTGAGGGACCGCGGGAAATCCGGGGCTCTCGAGGGCAGGGCTTTTCCTGCCTGCGGACGCCGCAGCGGGCGGCCTCCGGCGGCTGGGCCCCTGCGTTTCGCGGGCTCCTCTTTCGCCCTGGGAGGTGGGCCGATTGCGGGATGGCCTCGTGGGGAGGGAGCACTCTTGGGGAGGGAGCCCTCGGGCGGGGCGGCCGCGTCGGGCTGGGGCGCTGTGCGGCGCGTGGACCCCTGCCCTCCCCCAGGGCCGGTGTGCCCAGGGTGGGTAGTTTGTTGACCTCTGCGGGCTCAGGAGGGCGGGTAGCGGTTTGGTCAGTCATCTGCCCCGCAAAGCCGCGCCGGAGAGGCCCTGGAGAGCCGGCCGCACGCGCTCGCACCTTCGGGGCGGTGCACACCCGGCCGCAGGGTTCCCGCCCCAGGGGCGCGTCTCCCCGGTAGCTCTCGGAACACGGGCCTCCAGGTCGCTCACACTGGGGAATCGAGTCAGAATTTCTGGGAGTGGGGTTTGAGGGAAGAGTGCTCACCAGGCGATTATGTGTAGCCGGCGTTGAGAATCGCCAGTGCCTTCTCATTCTGTAGAATGAATGGCAATGTCTGTTCTAAGGTTTGAATGAAGCCAGGTGTTTAAAGATTCCTGCACATAGTAGGTTTTAAGAACGTTTTAGTTCTTGCCTCCCCTCAGTCTCCTCCACCCGCAGGAGTACTCAGTCCTACAGCAGAGCTATTGTTAGACATTCTAGAGCTTATCCTGTAGACGCAGTATTGTAGAAAGGCTACTGCTTTTTTTTTTTTTTTTTTTTTCGTATTTTTATTTCAGGAATTATCCGGTGGAATAGAGTTGTTACTCAGTATAGGAAACATTATGGACGAGATAAAAAAAAAAAATTACTAATGAACTCTAATGCTGTCCAAATTCATTTTTATGTTCAAGATGTACGATTTAACATCAGTTATACCTGGAATGTTGCCTTCTGTACATTAAGGGGATCTTTGAAAGATGGGCTTGAGAAGGAGGATAATGAAGCTCTTCTTGAATTAGTGAAACAAAGTCCTTCCTATCATGCGGATCAACAGTAAAAAATGAGATAGAGTGGAAGCTACAAGTTGATAGTGTATGTAGTTCATTTAGGGATATGAATGGAAATTATTCTAGAGCTGCAGCTGCCCAATGTAGTAGCCATTAGACACTTGAAACGCGGATACAGAAGTCAGAATTGAGGTCTGCTCTAAGTGTAAAGCATGCACTGAGTTTCTAAGACGTGGTATAAAAAAAGAATGTAAAATATTTCATTAATTTTAAATTGATTACACGTTGAAATGAGAACGTTTTGGAAAATTTTAAATTCCATATGTGGTTCCTGTTATATTTCTGTTGGATACTGCTGTTCTAGAGAGTAAGAAAATGTCTTTAAAGAAGAGCAGCTCCTTCGCTTGGTAATTGTGAAGGAAGCCAGCCATGTCACGCTTCTCAAGTAGCCTACAGATTTGCTGTACTTCATTTTTTGAGAGAGGAAAAAAGTACCCCCAAAAACCAAAAATAAAAAAAACCTGACAAAGGACATTTTCACAAAGCAAGTTCTAATTCATGGAGCCTTATGTATGTCACATGAACCAGTGATAACAAATATACCAAGTTATCAAGACATTTGAATTATGTTTAATGAATCTGATTAAGAATTCAGGGAAACATAACACTTAAGATGTCTGTTGAAAATGTTTAAAATAAGTTCTGGGTTTTAATGTTTAACCTGTAGGTCCAGTATACCTCTTTAGTTTTCCAGTGAACTCAGTAAGCTGAGGTTTTAGGGAACTTTTGTTTCCAGTGTTGTATATTTGCTTTAAAAATATATTTTTCACTCATTTATTTAAGAATAGCCTGCTGGGGGCCAGGAGTATTGCTAGACAGGGTTGAGAACAACGTGAACAAAACAGAAGACAGACATAGCCCTTAATCTCTGGGGGCTGATGGGTATCAATTCAGAAACAGTGAATAAGTAGATAACAACCAAGGCATAGTCTATTTTGCTTTTGAGTAAAATGCTTTACCTCTGTAAATTCAACGTGTTCGTGTTTTTAAACCTAGAATGTATATATTTCTGCTGACATGTTAAGAAAGAGTCTTATTAGGGTTTGGCTGTGGACTTAAGAAATACTAGTAAAAATATCAAAGTTCATTCATTAACTATGAGAACTTACAGAAGAAAACTTAAAACTGAACATTTCTTTACCTTTAAATACAAAGAAAAGTTGAAAAAAAATTATAATAGCATCCTATATCCTCTTTTAGCCTTTTGGCAACTTTTAGGTTCTAAGGAATTTATTAATAGAGTTGTAAAGAAGACATTGATTTATGCCCCAGCATAGTTTAAAATTGCTGACTTTAAGAAATTAAATTTATTTTAGCGTACTACATAGTTCTTAAGTCAATATATGTGAGTCTTTTAGGAAAAATTTAAACGTAGATCTTATGTGAGTTTATTACAGCTGGTGTAACAAATTACCACAAAGTTGTTGGTTCAAAACAGCACCTATTTATTATCTTATAGGTGTGTAGTTCAGAAGTCCAACATGGGTCTCAATGGAGTAAAATCAAGGTGTCCACAGGCTTGTGTTCATTTCTGGACACTTGGGGGAAGAATCTGTTTTTTTTTTTTTTTTTGCTTATTCAGGTTGTTGGCCAAATTCAGTCCCTTGCTGTTATAGGATTAAGGTCCCTGTTTCTTTGCTGTCAGCTGAGGGTTGTTCCCAGCTTCTAGAGACCACCTGCCTGCCTTGGGTTATGGACTTCTTCCTCCATCTTCAAAACAAGCAACTATGGGTTGGGACCTTCTCACCCTTCTAATCTCTCCTTTCTCCTGTTGTCTCTCTCTTCTCTGTTGTTAACTACAGCCTTGTGAGAATTCATTTGATTAGGTTAAATCTCTCCATTTTTAATGTTCAATAACTTTAATCACATCTGCCAGATGCCTTTGCCATAGTAAGGTAACATATGAGGGTACTTCAAAAAGTTCATGGAAAGATCTGTATTATCCGTCAATTCTGTTTTTCCATTAACTTTTTGAAATACCCTTGTATTCACAGGTTCTAGAGATTAGGGCATGGGCATCTTTAGAAGCTTGTTATTCTGCCTACCACAGATCTTAACTGGGGCCATGCAGTATACTCATATCCAGCATTCCTTACGAGTATTCTCAATAATTTATGTAAGAATAGTAATGTTGATAATAATAATTAAATTTTATCAGATATGAAATATGTTTTAGATACTATCTTAAGTCCTTGTACTGCATTCACTCATTTAATCCTCAGGACTACTCTAGGTGGCAAACATACAGATAAGGAAACATGTAGAGAGGACTGAAGTAACTTGTGTAACTTCTCACAGTTATTAAATGGTGGAATGAGGATTTGAACCTAGTGGAACCAGGTTCCAAAGCCAGTGCATGCTCTGAACCTCAACATAATAAAGATAATTTCCGAATATCTGGATTTACTAAACATGCTTTAATGATATAGTGGCTAGGAGTTCAAGATCTTGTATTCCATTGTCTAGATTCAAATAATTCTGCTTACCAGTTACTAGTTGACCCTCAGCAAGTTACTTTTTTCAGTCAGTTACGGACTCAAGTTATTGAATTGTAGTCAAAAATAATAAATGATAATACTTGAATTAATGATAGTACTTGAGTATTCAATGGGTACTATATGTAAGGTACTTAGAACAGTGCTTCCCTGTAGTAAGCTATTGCTAGCTACAATTACTGGTGACAATTCAACTTTTAAAAACAGTATTTATTATAAAAAATGTTTCCTTTAGGTACATGTGAAATAAAAACTGAAAATTAAAATTTTAACTTTTTAAAAAAATACCACAGTGCTATTGGCTTTCTCACTCTCTGATTTCTCCTCTTTCCAGTCTAGCCTCCATCTTTCTAGCTGTGTTAACTTCAGTGTTATCTGATCATGCACTTTAAACACTTTGTCCACTCTAGCTGCTTAAGGTTAATGTCCAAACTCCCTAGAAGGGTACTAAGAGCTTTACATACTCCAAATACTCTCCTGCCATTCCTTTGCTTAGTATTTACACAGCCATCAATTCTAACTTCTCACTGTTTTCATTTGCTATTATTATTCCTTGAGGGAGGCAATGACATCCTGAATCCCTGGCTGCTGTGGATTGATTGAATTGTGTCCCCCAGGGTCCATATATTAGAAGCTTAATTCCCAGTGTTACTGTTGAGGGTGGGAAATCCTACTATGGTAATTGAAAGGTGGGGCCTTGAAGAGGTGATTCAATTGTAGGACCATGCCATAGTGAATGGATAAATAATGGTGGTCAGGGGCA